TCCTTCCCAGGGTGTCCAGAGCCTTCGGTGTCTCACGGGTCCCTCAAGTACAGCCGGGCCCCAGAGCTGGTTTTAGGTGCATTTTTGCTCTTGGTGTCGCTTGCTCTTGGACTTGGTGAGTTGGGGCAGCAGGTGTGTGGAGCGGCGGCAGGGCTAACGGGACAGGACGCGTGGACGGTGCCGAGAGCAGGAAGGCACAGCCCGTGAGCGCAGGCTTCACAGGGCGCCCCGGATGACCGGTCACAGCAGGCGGGGGGCGGCGGGCTGCTGCGCTCCGGGCACCGCTCGTGCTCACATGCTCACACGCGTGCACTCCTGCAAGGGGACCGCTGCCCTCACGGCCCGTCTTAACAGAGGTCGGGCGGTGGCCCGCCGGCGGTAAGGTCCACGCGCTCCCGTCAGCAGGCGAGGACGGGCATAACCTGAGACTGACGCTCCCCGGAGGGCTGAGCTGTGTGCACAGAGCCCCAGGGGCCGGCTCCCCTGCTCGGGCCTGCAGGGCAGAATGGGGCCCCTGGTTTCAGGGCTTCCTGGAGGTTTTCCCGGACACCTAGAGCTTGGGGAGGAGGGAACTCCACGGAACATCTCTGTGGAGCCGCTCACGAGAGCTCCAGAACAGAAAATGTGGGCTCGGGAGGTGTGGGTGCCCCACACTCTGAACAGCTGGGCCGCCGATCTGACCCGTCCCCAGGGCCTGCCCTCTGAACCTCTGTGGGGAGCACGGTAGTTCTCACTGTGGAGGGTGCTGCCACGTGGTCAGCTCTGGGTCTCTGGGGCCCCATGGCTCTGGCCCTCCCCCCTCACCGTGTGGGGTGCATGGGGCCCTTTTCCAACCACCTTTGCTGTTGGAAGAAATTCCAGAGAATTTTAAAGTGTCCTTGTTCCAAAAGAAAAATACAATTTAGTCTTTATTTTTTATTTTTTTAAAATGTTTATTTATTTATTTTTGAGAGAGAGAGATAGAGACGGAGGGAGAGAGAGAAGTAGAATGTGAGTGGGGGAGGAGAAGAGAAGGAGGGAGACATAGAATCCGAAACAGACTCCAGGCTCTGAGCTGTCAGCACAGAGCCCGATGCAGGGCTTGAACTCATGAACCGCGGGATCGTGACCTGAGCTGAAGTTGGATGCTTAACCGACTTGAGCTCCCCAGAGCCTCTATAATCTTTATTTTTAATTAAAGTGATAAATAGCTTTCGAAGTCCAATAAAACTTTAACCCCCCCCCCCCCCCCCCCCCCCCGCCCCGGGCCTACCTTCCTGGGTTTTAGCGTTTCTGCCCGTGTCGGGCTGCTCATCTGGGGCCATGCCTCTGTCTGGGTGGCCCCTCTTCTGGGGGCTCTTCCTCCACTTTCCCAAGGCCGTCAGGGGCCTGTGCGGCACCCTCGCCCCAGGGACGGTTTGGCCTCTGCCGATCTCCCTGGTCTCCAGCGAAGCAATGGTGCTGGGGTCCTGTGTGCCCAGCGGGAGGCTCTGAGAGCTTAGAGCTTGAGGCAGGTCTGACCTTGAGCACTGTCCTGTGGCTGACGCCGTCCTGCCTCTTCTTCCCAGGGACGCGGAGCTCCCCCTGGTCAGAGGCCAGCGGAACCGCCTGTGTGACCTCCTCGGCGTGCCCAGACCTCAGCTGGTCCCCAAGGTAACCGCACGGCCCTCGGCCACGCCGGGAACCTGGGGCGCCTCTCACGTGAGGCCTCTAAGGGTGGCTCGCGTGAAGCACCGTCCTGACCCCTAGTCTGGAACATTCTGGGTGGCACAGACTGGAGGACACATGCCTTCAACCCGCCTGCCCCGTGTGCGCTCTCCCGGCTCCTCCTCCAGAGCCCAGATGGTTGTCCCAGGCTCCCGCGTGCGCCCCGCGCGTCCTCTGAGCCAGCAGCCCTCAGCGGAGTTGGCAGCGACCGAGCTCGCTCCTCTCAGACGTGCTTCTCCGTCCCGAAGGGAGGCCCCTCGGTGCCTCCGGCTGGTTTCCACCGTCACCACCTCTCTGGACACTCGTCTGGTCCTGGGACTCAGTCACCCCCAGGGTTTCCACGGCCCTGAGGTTGCAGGGCCCCGAGCTGTCCCTCCAGGTTCTGCGAGACCATCAGGAGATTTTAGGCTCTCGTGTGTGCGCTTGCAGGGAATCAGGACGGCCTCGCGGTCAGTGTCTCTTCAGGCTGCGGCTCTGCCGGAGCGCCAGCACACTTGTGACCGCTGGGGACAGAGCTGGTTCCTTGGTCCCTCGTTCCTGAGCCTGCCCGTTGGCTGTGTTCCCCCGAACCTGGGTTTGAACCCTGGCTGCTGTTGAGCTTTTAGCAAGAATATCCACTCAAGAGTGCGTGTGGTCCAGCTCCGTGCACACATGTAACGGACGCCTGGCGCAAGGGTGGGGCCCCCCGGGCCGGCTGCATGTGCGGTGCAGGGGGCGCCCTGTCTGCGGTTGTCGGTGTCTGGGCCCTTCCGTGTTTCCTCTGGGTTGCGTGGTGCACACGGCCCTGGGCCTGCCAGCTCTCGCTTCTTCCCGCTCTGTTGTTCGATGGGCTGTTGAAGGTCTTGCTGATTCCGAGGTTATGTCTCCTCGGTGTTTCTTAAGAAAATTATCGTTTTACCTCCTACATTTAGAGGTGAGGCCACTGGGGACTGGCATCTGTGCGTGGTGCCAGGGAGAGGCCGGCAGGCTCTTCCTTCCCATGCGGTCCATGCCGCCCCATTCTGGCCACGGTGTCACTGTGGTCAAAGCCAGACCACACGCGTGGCTGTCTTCTTGGGTCCTGTCTGTAACCCAGCACCGCCCGTCCCGCCGACACAGGTGTGGGTCTCGTGAGACATGGTGCTCATGCATTTCTGCCTCCGGTTTTATTTTTCCAAGACCATCTTGACTCTTAGCCCCTTGGGTCTCAGAAAGCTCTACGAAATTGTCATCAGTTTACGGCGTGGGACTGGCCAGGCATTAGGCCAAGGTCATCTGGAGCCTGTGGGTCTGCTTGGCGAGGGCAGACGTCTGTGATCCGAGTCTCGCAGCCTTGAGCGCGCAGGACCCCGTGCTTTACGGTGTTTGGAACTGCCCTAGTTCTTGGATCGTTTCTTCTGTTTTTCCATCCTTTTTTCTCAGCATTTCAGTTTGGGAGTTTCTATCGACTAGTCTTCAGGTTCACGAATTCTTTGGCCATGCTCAGTCTTCATCTCTGTGAGCATGTTCCTGCTGTCTGGGAACTCCTTTCATTCTGTGACTTTCCACCTCTGCTCACTGCCCATCTGCCCTTGGTGGTGCCCACTTTCCCCATCAGAGCCCTTGGCACGTAAGTCATTGTTTTATTTATTTAGTATTATTATTTTTTTAATGTTCTCTTTCTTTCTTTTTTTTTTTTTTAAATATTTTTATTTATTTCTAGGAGAGAGAGAGAGAGAGACAGCGTGAGCAGGGGAGGGTCAGAGAGAGAGGGTGTCACAGACTGAAACAGGCTCCAGGTTCTGAGCTGGCAGTCAGCACAGAGCCCGACGCGGGGCTCGAACCCACAAACCGCGAGATCATGACCTAAGCGAAAGTCGGACGCTTAACCGACTAAGCCACCCAGGCGCCCCTGTTTTATTTATTTCTGAGAGAGAGAGAGAGAGCATGAGCAGGGGAGGGTGAGAGAGAGAGGGAGATGCAGAATTGGAAGCAGGCTCCAGGCTCTGAGCTGTCAGCACAGAGGTGGGGCTTGAACCCACGAACTGTGAGACCATGACCTCAGCAGAAGTCGGACGCTTAACTGACTGAGCCACCCAGGCGCCCTTGGTCATTGTTGTTTTAAACCCTGGTCTGATTATCCCAACTCTGCTGTTATCTGAGTCTGGTCTAGATCTTGGTGCCATCTCTCTTGGTTGCTTTTTCTTGCCTCTTGGTGTGTCTTGTAAGTTTTTGTTGAAAGCTAGACACGTTTGGTGACAGGAACTCAGGCCTCGGGATCATGGGGTTTGTGTCTGTCCGGCAGGGGCCCCTCTCCACCCCCTCCAGCGCGTCGTGCCCCGGCCATCCCTGCACTGTCTCCCTTGGAGCATCGGAGTCTGAGAGAGGACCCACGGCCGTGACCTTGGAGCCCACCCGGGGAGGCGGTGGGCTGCATGGCAGTTTGCGGTCATCTGAGCAGACCTCAGCCCTGGGCTCCGCTGCGCAGCTCCGTCCCTGCCGTCCCCTGCAGGCGCCAGGGCTCTGGCAAGACCCTTGTGCTGGAGACGCCCGGAGTGTGGGGGCTTTCCAGAATCGTGAGCAGTGAGCCTGGGGCCCTGGAATCCCCCCAAAATGGCACATGCTTTCCGCTTGGGAGTGCGCTCTGTTGGCCCCTGCTCCAGGCAGTCGACGGGTGCCCGAGAGCAGCTCTGGGGCGGCCTCTCTGCTCTCACGGGGCTCTGAACGCGCAGCACCTCGTTGTCATCTTTGCCCTGTTGCCACGCGCTGAAGGGGCGTCACCCGGAGTGTTCCTTATCTGTAAGAACGCCTCCTGCCTTCGAGTCTACCTAGGTAATAACCGCACTAGAGTTTTGGGTGTTTACACCGTTTCCTCTCTGTGTTTTCTTATATTTATATAAATGGTAGGTCTTCTCTGTATTTAATCTAGTTGAATAATCTTGGTTGGAATGTTTTGTCCTCTTGCGTTTAATGTGTGGTTATAGACTTGGGTTTACGTCTGTGGTCTTTGATTCAAGCTCGGTCTGTTTCCTTCTCTTGGCCTTGTGAGGATCTGCAGGGTTTATCGCTTCACATCCCCGCCTGTATGGCGGCTTCTCTGCCAGCAGGGACCGTGGGAGCAGGCGGCGGGCAGGGCGGCCCCAGGTGCGACCCCGACCCCTTTCCCCGCCAGTCCTGTCAGCTCTTCAGTTTCTTCTCCCTCGGGCTTGGAATCACATTGTTACTTTGGATGGTTTTCCTGCGTCCCCTCCCGTGCCACACGGTGTGGTGGCTGTGCCCACCCTTCTCTTGGGCGCTGGGGGCTCCGTGAGGGGTGCAGATGGCTGGCCAAGTGCAGCATCAGCTTCCCAAGTAAATACACTTTTTATGCTTTTATTAGGAAAATTTCCCACACAGTGGATGATGATTGTGGAAAAGTACCAGGGACCTCCCCCCCCCCCCCCCCAGCGCCTCGAGGTTATGTCGGCCTCGGGGGTCCTGGGTGTCTGGGGAAATGGAGGCCTAGAGGGGGTGGTGCTGGTGGTCTGACCCTGCGCTGTGTCCCCACAGTCTGGCACCCGCTGAGGCCCCCTGCCCATGGGGAGGAGCCTGAGGACGGTCAGCACGGGACAACTGGATGCGGTGCCGGGGACTTCAGGGTCCCCCCACGGTGGGGGCTTTTCCTCACACGTGTCCTGGGACGTTGGTGCTTCTGTCTTCACGTCCACAGGACCCCGTCTATAAAATCATGTTCTGAGCAGTACTGTGTCTGTGTGTGATGCTGATGTGCGGGACTGGGGGGCAGAGGGAGGGCCAGAGAAGCTGCTAAGTGGTGGGGCGCTACCTTCCCTCTGCCTCACCCCGTTGTACCCGGTGCGTGTGGACGTTGCACGTGGTCGCCCACCCTCACGCAGTGTGCGACGCAGGCGCCCTGCCTGAGGCCGGCGGGGCCCCGCAGGAGAGTCTTGAGTAGCCAGTCAGGGACCCGACGGAGGCACGCGTGGGGACCGGCACCTCCCGCGAGCCGACAGCCCAGCGAGCGTGTGTTCTAGGGTACTGGGTTCTCCGGCGACGTGGGGGAGCACCAACCGCAGTGCGCCCGCTCACTGCCAGCAGGGTGCCTCCTCCCGGGACCCGGGGCAGGCGCCTCCGCCAGGCTGGCGTGCAGATGCTGCTGGACGCAGAGACGAAGGTGGTAGCCGTGCCAGGGGCGGGTGCTGGCTGCTGCTTCCGTCCCCAGGAGCGGTTTCCCTGCCTGGGCCGCACCGCTGCCACGTGGGGACGTTCACCCGCTGTGTGCGACCCCTCAGGCCCCTGGAAGGGAAATCTTACGTTACTCTGTGGATTAACTTTCCCCCTCAGAAGTAAGTAGAGAGTTCTCTGAGGGGCGGAGGGTGGCGGGCGGGGGGCCCAGCCCTGCAGGGCAGCGTCTGGACCGTGGCTGCAGAAAACCCAGCCACGGCTTCTGGGAAGCAGTCAAATGAACCGTTTCTGGTGTAATTTTAAAAATCCACAAGATTTCAAACAAAAGCCTCTTTGGAGACACGGGGACAGGTCGCTGGCCCACGGACCCATCAGAGGCCCTGCCTCGCAAACCCACCCCCCCGCTGGCCTGACCGCAGCCTGAGGCCACATGGCCACACTGGCTGCCCACGGCCCAGCGCCTCTGCTCACTGTTGGCCACGTTGGGCCTGGAGGGTCACCCACCTTCATGCACCTGCAGGTTCTGGAGCCCCCTGCGTCCAGGTGCCGGACCCGGGGAGGGGGGCTCTGTGCACTCACAGCTTAGGAGTGGGGCTAGGAGCAGACGTGACCGGCCCCGTCAGCAGCACCGAGGCCCGGAGCCACATGCGATGGGCAGGGCGCTGGACTGTGGTGGACAGAAGTGGCTGGGAAGCCCTCCAAAGGGACAGTGGGCGGGTGCCCCGCGGGGGAGAGCACCTGGTCAGCCCGGGGAGCCGGGGGCCAGTGTGCCTGGAATGAACGAGTCGGGGAGGGGGTGGCGGGGGCCACGCTGCGCACACGGCCACGTCCGGGTCCCTGTGAGCAGGTGCTGCCGCTTGGAGTAAGGCGTTGACGCCAAGCCGGGACCCTGGGTGGTGGTGCCCTCGGCAGTAGCGTGAATGAGGACAAAAGGGGACGGCGGGGACACCCCGGAGCCACTGCTCTGGTGGGAACGTGTGGGCAGCCGAGTGTCTCTGCGCGGAAGCCTGGTCAGCAGACAGTGAGCGACTGAGTGCCGGGTGCACAGAACGGGTAACGGCTACTGTGTAAGTAGAATTTGGAAACAGACCAGAGTAGCACAAAGTAGGCAGCATGATCATCCACGTTTCTAGAAGATGCTGGTCCTCCCGCACTCAGAACACAGCGCCGCTTCTCATGCTGACCCCGTGGGCCCGGGATCCCGGCCTCGCTCGTGTGAGCTCTGGGCGCAGGCTCTGGCCCTGGGTCATCGCCACCTCCGGCAGAAGTCCCGGTGACCCGGCCCACGGACGGCCTCGCTCGGGTCCTGAGGCAAAGGGGAGCCGGCTCCCTCACCCGCGGTGGAAAGCTCCCTGGTCGCCCGTGGCCGACGGGATTTGCTCTCGACCCGGGTTTGAGCCCTGGGGTTCCTGGAGCTGAGAGACCAAAGGTGCGAGACTGCCCGCAGCCCGCAGCCGCCAGTTCAGAAAGCCAAGCAGGCCCCCTCCCGCAAGGACGTGCGCCCCTAACCATCAGGCCACCTGAGCCCCCTTCCCGCACCGAGTCTCTGCCACCGTCACGGGACCAGGAGGCCCCGCCCCCTGAGCTCTGGGCGCACGGCCTGCGCTACCACGTCTCTAACCAAGTCACGCGGGAGCTGTGCCCGGGTCACCCAGATGGACCCGTCAGGAGCCTGCGCTGACGAGCTCCCGGCAGGACAGACACAACACGCCGGGTGGCGGCAGTGCGGGGCCCCTGGCGGCAGAGGGGCGTCTGCGCCCGCGCGGACGGGCAGGGACACACGCTCCACAGGCCGAGTGCTCACGGCCCCTCACCTTACCGCGCGTCCACCACACCCTGGCTGAAAACGCAGGTGCGCGCCCTCCAGGTGAAGGGTCAGCCCCGCGCCCATTTCGTGCCACCTCCCGCTCGGCACCCTCTCCCTCGAGGCCGCTGGCCACACCTCCCAGCACCCTCAATCCCTCTCCTGGGCGGTGGCTGCGGGGGGCCTTCCGCGTACCTGGGAGCAGCCGTCCGAGCCGTCAGCTGAAGTGGAGGAAGTCCTGGCCTTCCTGCAGGTGCAGCGACCTCAGGTTGTCCTCAAAGGCGCCCCCCGTGAGGTCCTGCGGGAGGAGCAGCGAGTCCGGCTCAAACCTTCCCAGCCCCCACTGTGGCCCCCACAGATCCCTCCCAAGGGGGCCTGCCCGTCAGGTGGTCTGCCGTGATCTTCTCTGTTAAGGGGAGGGGACTGGACACGGGGGGGACGTTGCCAGAAGTTGGCCACGAAGTTCTGCTGGTCACTGGTAGGAAGCAGGGGGTGGGGGGGTCCTCCGAGGCGCACCCTCCCCCAGCCCCAGCTGGAACCTGGCCCCTCGCTGCAAAAGGTAGCTGACCCCTTCCACAGGGGCTCCGGGAAGGAAACGACCCCCAGGGGCAGCTCCACTTCACCCCCGGGTCCGGGCCACACTGGCTCGCCTCTCCACGCCCCACCCCTGCTGCAGAGGCCCTAGCCCTGACTCCGGGAGCTGTCAGCAGACCCTCTCCTGCCTCTTGCTTGGCCCCAGCCCTGCCCTGGGTTGAGGACCCCGGAGTCCATCTCTATCCAGGGCTTACCTGTGGCCCCATGAGCTCCCTGAGGTGACCCCAGGGCTAGTAGAGCTTCAGCTAGGCCCGTGCACTGGTGCTGGCTCTGGCCAGGCCGCCTGGCCCCCTGGGTGGGAACCCGCTGCGGCTCCAGCCAGTCCTTCAACCTGGTGGCCTGTCCCCGATGCAAGGGGCCCAGCACTCACCCCTGTTGGGTTCCTCTGTCCTTGGGCCCAGCATAGGGGTCAGCTTGGTCTGGCACAGCCTTGACCACTGGGCACGGCTAGAAATACTTAAATGGGAAACACGAAATTCCCACACTCTTCACCTGCTGTCCGTTCCCCGCTCCCCCTTCCCATTGTCTCTGGGCCCGAGTTTTCAAAGGAAACACCTGTGTTCAGGCCAGCCAAGCGGGACTGTGGCCCAGAGAGGATTTGGGAAGGGGGCCCCCTTTCAACAAGATGCCATTGAAGTTAGACGCTTCTGTAGATTAACGTAAACCAACAAAGGATTAGGATCCAGAAGCATGAGAACTATAAGTTGTCAGGGGAAGATCTGCTCCCACAAAGTGGGGGGAGCCCGATCCGAGGTGTCCTGGAGGAGGACGGAGCCTCATCAATAAGATGCGAATCCTAAAACCACAGCGAGAGCCACACCCCCTCCTGCACCCTGAGCGGACACGTTGGGGGTGCAGTCCACGACCCACACTTCCAATCCTGGATAAAGCCCGGAAACGGGCATTGGTGTGACATTCACAAGGCAACAAGAAGGGACAGTCTGCCCGCCTCAGACGTGACATGGAGCAACAGCTCATTTAGTCTCCTTCACACACACTACAGAAACAGGCAGCACAGGGGTGTCTGGGTGGATCAGTCGGTTAAGTGCCCAGCTTCAGCTCAGGTCATGATCTCCTGATTCGTGGGTTCAAGCCCCGCATCGGGCTCTGTGCTGACAGCTCGGAGCCTGGAGCCTGTTTCAGATTCTGTGTCTCCCTCTCTCTGACCTTCCCCTGCTCACGCTGTCTCTCTCTCTCTCTCTCAAAAATAAATAAAACATTAAAAAAAAGAAACAGGCAGCATAGACTGTATGGTTTGGGGATGCGTACGCATGCAGCAGTAAAAATGGTAAAGAGATTATGTGAATCGGGACAGCTCTGGGGGAAGGCTTTTTTCTACGTGGGTTGGCTACTTGTGTGGGCACAATATTAACCTATGCAGCACGTTCCAGAACAGAGGTCTGCAGTGTTTCTTCAAGGGCTGTATAGTAAATATCGACAGTTTGGTGGTCATAATGTCCTGTGTTCTAATAAAACTTTATTCACAAAAGCAGGTGGTGGACCATGCATAGGCCATGTGTTAATAGTTCACAGTAAAAACGTTTATTCAAAAAAGAAAAATGTGAGGTAAATTCTAAAAAAGAGTAGAGGAAGGCTTGCCTCCCTAATGGTAAATACCGTAAAGCCCAGGAATTAATGGTGCGGTGCACGGACAGACGGAAAGTAGACCAAGAGTCCAGAAGTAGATCCAGACGTGTGTTCATATCCAGCATAAAAGTTCAGTGTCCCGTTGTCAGAAAAGACAGGGATTCCCCAAATAGTCCCAAGTGGTCTTTGGACAAGTGAGCATCCAAATGGGAAGAAAACTTAAGAGTCCCTACTTTATTTTTAAATTTCTATTTATTTTGAGAGAATGTGTGTGTTGGGATGGGGGTGGGGGGGCAGAGAGAGGGAGAGAGAGAATCCCAGTGCAGGGCCGGAACCCACAAACTGTTGCGATCATGCCCTGAGCTGAAATCAAGTCAGACACTTAACTGACTGAGCCCCACAGTTGCCCCGAATCTCTAATCTTTTTTTTTTTTTTAATGTTTATTTCTGAGAGAGAGAGAGAGAGAGAGAGAGAGAGACAGCGTGAGCAGGGGAGGGTCAGAGAGAGAGGGAGACACAGAATCCGAAGCAGCTCCAGGCTCTGAGCTGACAGTCAGCACAGAGCCCAACGCGGGGCTCGAAGCCACAAACCGTGAGATCATGACCTGCGCCGAAGTCAGACGCTCAACCGACTGAGCCACCCAGGTGCCCCCATGAACTCTAATCTTTATGGTAAAATAAATCCTACTTGTCAGAGATGAAGAAACAAATCTCAGACGCAAACCTGGGGAATGTGCTTTAAAATTTCACATTCAGGAATTAAGGTCTTAGAATGAATAAAACTCCAAAATCCATACAAAAATCAATTTGCTATCTAAACAAAGATTTTCCTAAAAGGCAAAAATAAAGTCAAGTGATAGAGAAATTCACAAGACCGATCATCGAGGTTTTCGTTACGTAAAGGAAATACTAACAGACCAACAGAAGAACGGGCTGAAGAACAGATAACTCACCAAGAGGGAAGTAAAGACGCTTATAAAAACGGGAAAGACACCCTCCTTACCCATCACAAGACCCTGCAGACCTTCCGCCCATGATGCGAACGTGGCAGATTTGGCCACGCCGGGGGGGGGGGGAGGAGGGCCGCTGGTGGGGGCGAGCGTTACCACCGCCTCCTGGGACGGAGCAAAGGAGCGAGGTTCCACGTAGATAGTCACTGCAGCAGTATGTTCGACAGTTAATGATAAAAAATGGTCTAGAGGCGTGAGAATTAACTGGAGGTAAGGGGTGAAGCATCCGTGCGAGCGAACAGGGTGCAGATACTCTTTAAAATGAGGCACGTGAACCCCAGGGGCTCCTCCTCCCAGAACTCGTCCAGCCCCTGACGGGAGCGGGGGTGGTGGGGAGCCCGTGCAGGGCAACCGCCCCTGGAGCCGTGCCAGCCTCCCACCTGCGCGGAGAAAGCGTGTGTGACCCCAGGGTGCCGGGCCACACAGGTGCCCCCCGATGAGACCGTGGGACCCGGCAAGCTACACAAGGGCAGAACACACGGCTCCTGGGACCTCGGACAAGATGGGCGTCGGGCACTTTGGGGGTGACACCTGTGTATCAGTAAATTTTGTAGTTTTTATCATTTTGGGAAACAATGTTTGAAGTTAGGATTTGCTTCACACTGTCAGGTGGGGGAGCTGGGAGCATAGAACCCACAACGGCCACGGAGGCAGGCTGCACAGGGACATGCCACATAGACACACCGCACGGGGGGCACATGCCGCATGGAGGGACGCGCCACACGGGGACAGTGGAGACGGCTGAAGGAAGCTGGCTTCCTCTGGCTTTGGTGAAAAGGCTGAAATGTGCTAGGAAGTTTGCTTGATTAAAAGATGACGACAGGGGCGCGTGGGATCCAGCCCCGCACTGGGCTCCGTGGAGCCTTCTTGGGATTCTCCCCCGCCCTCTGCCCCTCCCCTGCTCCTGGGTATCTGCCGTTTCTCAAATGAGCATTAAAAAAAAAAAAAGACAACAGAATCAGATGGTCCCAGTGGGTTCATAGGGAATAATCTGCAAGACCTATTATGTAAATAAAGCAAAAAGCAGAAAAAGTATTTAAAACAATGCTACTTCCAAAAAAACCCACCCATTTACGTCTGGTGGCAGGTGCCCGTGGGGTCTCTCCAGGGACAGGGTGAGGGGCGGGAAAGGGCTTCACTGCCCCCAGAGCTGGCCCCTCAGGAGCGGTTTTCATCGGGGATCGGGGGGGGGGGGTTTAACTCCCGGCAATACCCAGAGAAGCAGACCCTTAGCAGAGCTCATCTCTGAAAAATTACGAATATGTTTGTGCAGAATTTAAGTGTTCATTGTGCAACCTTATAATTATGCACCCGGTTTCCCCAGCAACTTGGAACCTTGCTTATCTCAGCTTTAAACAGCCTTGTTCCTTTCAGGAAACTGCTTTCAAACCAGAAAACCCACAGCCGGGTGGACAGAGGTGGGTCTGTGTCACCCCCTGTCCTGGAGTGCAGGCTGGACCAGCCATGGGACACGGCCAAGGAAGGGGTGGGATGTCACTTCTGTGACTTGGTGACACGTTACCGTGACTTCCGTCTTGCTAGCAGACCCCGGTCCGGGCAAGCCTCCCCCTGTGACCACGTCTTGGCCGGCACCCCACCAGCAGCTTCGCGAGAGCCCTGAGGCCCCGCCTGTGGTGCCTGATTCTGAACCACGCACACCGTGAGGTAAGAAGTGTGTGTTGTGTGAGGCCAGCGTGTGGTACTTCACCACGTAGCAGTAGTTAAGTAAAGAGTCAAGCTGGCAAACAGGCAAGCCGAACAAAACCTCAGGGTGACAGTCGGGACAGAGCTCGCTCGGCCATGGTGCCCCGACAGCTAGACGGCCGTGTGCCCAAGAACGGGGCCGGCCGCCATCTGCCCACCATACACGACACTCAGAAGGAAATGCAGGGGGAAACCATGGCGGCCCTGGGTTTGGCGATGGTTTCTCGGCTATTGCACCAAAAACATGAGCAACCAAGTCAAAAACAGAGAAATTGGACTTTGTCAAAATTAAGTACTTTTTGTACCAAAGGACCCCATTAAGAGAGAAAAGAAGAGAACCCGCACGAGAGGGAGGACCCACATCTGGAATACACGAACTCCTACGGCTCAACGAGACGAAACCCAGAGACAGAATGGGCGAAGGACGCCAACAGATGTTTCTCCAGACAGGACACCCGAATGGCCAACAAGCAGCTCAGAGACACGGCATCTTCGGTTGTCAGGGAAACGCAGGACCAAAACCACGGGTGGGAGCAGTTGGCAGCCACCCGGGCGGCCGGGCCACCACCGCTAGCGGACGAGCGTGGAGACGCTGGCGCCCTGCGCGGTGGTGGGAATGGGAACCGGTGCCGCCACTGCGGAAAACCGGTTCCCAAAACAAACACGGTGACCCAGTGACCCCACACTTCCGAGATGGACACGCTTCCGCACAAACTGCACGGACACTCACAGACGCGGGGCTCTAACCACCCGCGACGGCAGGATGGGGGGGGGGCGGGGGCTGGTTCTTTTCTGAAGGTTTCACCACCTTGCAAGTCCGTGGCGTTGCCGAGAAACAAGCAGCACTGGCGGAGTAGCGCCTGGGACAGCACGCGTCTGCCTCCCGCGGTTTCCCGCGGTTTCCCCCCGCTGGAGTCCGGCTCGGGATGGGCCTGAGCGAGGCTGCCTCACGGCCGCTCTCCACCCTCGGGGGCCTCCCTCCGAGCGGCCCCTTGAGCAAGAGACAGAGCCCAGAACCCAGAGCTGTTCTCCCAGTCCTGCCTACGGGCCCTTCCCGGGCCGCTGCCCCCACCTGACCCACGTCTACGTCCGGGGGTGCTGGGCCCCCCACAGGGTCTTAAAGCAGCCAGCAGGGAAGAAGGTGCCCCTCCCTGCCCAGTCCCGCCGTGCGCAGGGCCGCAGGCTCCCCGAGCCCAAGGCTTGGAGCAGGGATGGACTCTGCCTCCGTGAAGGCTCCTGGCATGCTGATTACAGCCTCACGGGCGGGCAGCTGCTGGAGGTGGTGCCCGTGTCCCCGCCTGTGCCACAGCCCCCCTCCCCCCGCAGCAAGCCCTGCGCCCCATCGTGAGGCCTGCTGCACAGCCTGCCCACCGGAGCTGGCCTGGTCCCGTAGGGTACGGACTCAAACGTGAAGGATGACACTTCGCGTTTACGTTTATATAAACGAGAAAGCAGCTTTCTGACCCTACAGAAGGAGGTCCTCACTGGGACACAGCTGTTCGTCGCAAGAGAAGGTTATGAAAGTAACCTTTTCTGGAAGAATCCATGGAAAGGCAAGTCCCTTGTGGAAGAAAAGGTCTGCCGCTCTAACCAATGAAGGACGGGCACCAGAGTCTGTGCAGACGTCAGCCGGGCAAGAGGCGGCCCTGGGAGCACGAGCTGACAGAGCCCTTGTCTGGCGGAAGAGGCGGGCAGAGCCCTCTGGAGGCCGCACGAGGGCACGTGGGGGTGGGGCGGGGCCTTCCAAGACCCTTCAGGTCTCCAGTCACGAGAATGTGCGGACTGTGCCCTTGCTGTTGCCAGGCTGGACATGACCAGGGCCCACGGCCAGATTTCAGCATGTGGGGTGTTAGTGGGCAACGAGTGAATTCACAGGCCAGCCTGACTCGGGCAAGCAGACGCTGTGTGATCGTCACTGTGTGATCCCCACACAAAGCCGGAGCTGTGAAGCGGGCACCATGCCCGTGACCTCAGCGGAAGGGGGAGGATGTGGCGGGGAGAGCTCTCGGGACAGCCCTGGGCATGGGGGCCGCAGTGCTGGGTCAGAGGTGCATCTTGGTGGTACTTTCACCACCTGCCACCCTTCATCTTTGCCAGGGCATCTGATAAGTGCCCAGAAGGTGCCTCAGGCCTGGCACTGAGCAAGTTTCCAAAAAACATTGCTTTTATAGAAAGGCAGCCCATTTTGCAAGGGCTCTGTGGCGGCCTCTCCCAACACCTCTGCCCAAGCCCCATGTCAGACGTCACAATCCCACAACTGGGGGCATGTCCCAGCCACGCGGTCGTCAGTGGAGCCCAGCCACGGCTGACACTTACCAGCTTCACGCAGATGACGAAGGGCGGCCGTGCGGCTCGGAAGTGCAGGATCGGAATCCGGGGCTTGGGCCTTTCCTGAGGGGCAAGAGGCCTCGTGGGCTCGGGTCCGTGCTGGCCATGCGGGCCCGTGGCCGCCCGGATTCCTTCCCCCCCATCCAGCCCTGAGGTGCCCCCCAGTGAGAGGACAGGCGGGGCAGGGACCCTGGTCGCCCTGGGGCCCGAGAGCCCCGCCCTCCCCTCCCTGGAGGGCCCCACACACCTGAGAGTCTTCGTGACAGTAGAAGCCTTTCCTGATCTTGTTCTCATCCACGTCACAGAAGGCAACCACCTGGGGAGGGGGCAGGACACCAGCCTCAGGGACAGGGGACGGGGGGGGGGATGCAGGGGAAGGGGCACAGGGACCCACCTTGCGCTGCGCCCTGGCTGTCAGGCTGCGATAGAGCCGGCGGCCCTGCCTGCCCGCGTTCCAGATGGTGAAGGCGGCCCAGCGCGGCAGCGCCCGTTCTTCCAGGAAGTGGACGCGGTGGGTCCAGATGGTGCTCCTGGGGGGGCGGGGGGGGGGGTGAGCCACGTGAGCGGGGCCTCCAGCTGCCCAGGCCTTCCTCCCCACCTCGGGTTTGCTGGAGGGGTGACGGGTGAACCAGGGTCGTGCCACCTCACCCACACAGCCCCAGCGCTGGCACGTGCCTTCCTCAGGGCCGTGTCCTCAGGGGCCCTGAGGGACGCCAGGCACAGGGCAGGGGGCCACGCAGGGGCGCCGCCCGCACCTCCAGTCTGCTCAGGTGTCCGGGGCCCCAGGGTGCCAGCACATGATGAGACCACGTAGAAGCTGTCACAACCACGTGCTTTACGGGCAACAGGACAGTTCCTGCAGCAGCACGGCTGGCGACCTGCAGACCAGCATGTCCCCAGGGGCCAGTCTCCCTGCCCCGCCCCTGGTGGCTGCAGAGCAAATGCCCAGGTGGGGAGGGGTCGGCAGCCACTGGGTCAGAGGCCACAGGAGAAGGTGGCAAGCCCTCGGGCGGGGTGGTGGGTGGCGGCAGACCGCGTGCCCGTGAGGCCGAGCAGAAGGGCAGGTCTCAGGGAAAAAGGTGGATTCTGCCGCGGACATAACGCTCCGGGCGGGCAGTGCGTGCGGTCAGGGAGCCGTCCCCGTGCAGTCTAAGCGTAAAGATGCGGGTGAAGGTGTGACCCCCACATACCCACCGAGCTGGCCTTGGCCGTGGGGCTGGGAACGCGGCTGCGCGGGAAATATGATGAAAACTGCTGAATGAGGTAACTGCTGGCCATTCTCAGTTTAAAAACAAGGACAGCCAGGGAGAGCTCTCACCGGGGGCCTCCGGGCAGAGTCAGGAAACGCCACTCTCGACAAGCCCGAGGGTGTAATTAAAGCTCATTACTCTGAGGTTTTGCCACTCACAGCTCAAAGCATTTAATCCAACACAGAAACTAACATGAGATCACTTCTTTTGTGTTGTGGGTGGCAAAGCCTCACGCTGCAAAAAAGAAAGAAACCTCTCAACATAAAAGACACTGATCCCATGCAAACAAGATGAAGGCGTGTGGGGACAAAGCCCGTGGCCTGCGGCCTGGTCCTTCCTGGACACGGGGGCTCCTGCCACACCGTGGGCCTCCACCAAGTCCTAGAGAGAGGTCCTTCCCCCATCTTCCTAGAACCTAAGGTGACGACACAGATGGGAACATTCATGATGATGACAGGAGAGCCCCAGTGTCCCACCCTTGACGGCACACGTGGGGTGCCCAACGTCCCCATATCACGGATCTAATTTCTATCTAGTTCTGATCACCGCCACCAAACGCTGGATCCAGTGGCCACGCGCACGCCGGCCACGCCCCCCGTGTGGACTGGTGATGACGAAGGGCAGGGACTCTCCGCCTGGCTGGAGCGTCTGAGGAAGCACATCCCACAAACACATGCTCTTGTGTCCAGCTTCTTTAGTGACCGTATTGCTTTGATCTCAACCCCAGTCCCTGTATCTGTCAGTAGTTTATCTGTTCCATTACTGTGCTCATTTGGGTTGTTCCCAGTTCTCGGCTGCGCTGAACGATGTTTCCACGGCTCTTGCCTGAACACCCACACGGGACTGCTGAGGCACCGGGGATGTTAATTAATTTAAAAAGCGCCAGACGTCCTACTAAGCACTCCTGCGGACAGAGCAGGACAGTTCTGGCAGGTCCACACTCTTGCCACCCTTTGGAGTCGGCAGACATGAACTTGGCCCTTCTGCTGGATGTGTAGTAGGTGTGCGTTATTTACATATTACACGGTATTGTTTTGCGAAGTGTGTTGTTGCCTTTCTTCCTGGTGCTTGGGGTTCTTTCTGTGCCTTCTGTTTGGTTCTCCTGCAGATGCGTGGATGGTGAGTATCTCCTCTCCGCCCCACAGTCCACCACTCATCTTCCTAATGGTGTCTTTTGAGGTTTTTAAGTTCTATCAAATCCACTTTATGAAGTTTTAAATGGCTAATGATTCTCATGTCCTCGCTGAGAAGTTTTTGTCTGCCATGGAGTTGTGAAGATGTGCCCTGGTGTTTGCTCCAGACGCTTTCTGTTTTAGCTGCTTCTTTTTAATGTTTTTTTTTTTCCTCCTGAGAGAGAGACAGCGTGAGCAGAGGAGGGTCAGAGAGAGAGGGAGATAGAGTCTGAAGCAGCTCCAGGCTCTGAGCTGGCAGTCAGCACAGAGCCCGACGCGGGGCTCGAACCCACAAACCGTGAGATCATGATCTGAGCCGAAGTCGGACGCTCAACCGACTGAGCCCCCAGGCGCCCCTGTTTTAGCTGTTTCTATGTTTGTGTCTAAGATCCATCTGGAATTAGTTCTTCTGTACGGTGAGTGATTCTCTTTCCTCCATCTTTTCCCATGTGGACATCTACTTGTTCTACTTGTTGAAAATATTTTCCTTTTCCATTAAATGCCTTTGGGGACTTTGTTGAAAATCCGTCTATGATACAATTTTGAGTGTATTTCTGGATTCTCTCTTTCCCTGGTCTCTGTCCACCCTGTGCCGTGGCTTCAGTGCTGAAATCGAGCACGGGTAGTCCTCAAATTTTGCTCTTTTCAAGGTTGTTTCGGCCATTCTGGGTCCTTTAATTTTCCACGAAGATTTCAGAACCAGGTTATCAATTTGCACCAAGAAGCCAGCAGACTCCTGTCCTGGGACCGTGAGTTCGGGAGGCTCCTGCCCCAGCACTACCCGTCTTCAGACTCACAAGGTGGCGCCCCCGTGTCTGCGCCCAGGGGTTCCTTCATTTCCCTCAGCACTTTCCCAAGGACACAAACACACTGTGTGAAATGCATCCACGAGTATTTTATGTTTGATGCCACACAGGTTTCTTAACTGCGTTTTCAATCGTTCATTGCAAACATGTGGATTGTGTGCTCCAGCTGATCCCATAAACTGTGACCATTTTAGTTTCAGCAAATTAAACTTTTCTCTAATTTCCTTTGTGATTTTTTTCCTTGGTTGCCTAATTGCCAAGTATTTTGGATTTTTAGGATGGGTTAATGATTTCTAACTTAATTCTATGTAGCTATAAAACACATCTTGTGTGACTGCAATCATTTGAAACTGGTTCGGAGTTGTTTTCTGGTCCAAAGTATTGTCCATCTTGCATCTTACAGGGACGTCTTCTGTGGCTGTGTCTGTCCCGGGTCAGGCCGAGGTTCCCAGGGTGACGCAGCCGCAGATTTCCTCTGCTTTGCTTCGTCCCTGGCATGTGGCACAAAGCGCTCTGACTGTAGCTGAGGACTTGTATGTTTCTGCTGGGGTTTTTCACGTGGAGACTGTCATTAGATGCACACACACACCTGGCGCTTTGTCCTGTGACGTGACCTTTTCCCCTTGGGTGCAAATCACACTTGCATGGAGTCAGCTTCATGACAACAAACCCCAAACAATGATGCCCCACCAGAGCTATTATATAAAATTCAGATTTAACAGAGGACAACCCAAATCAAGCTCTTTTACTGAAAGCTGGAAAACAGAGCTTAGTTTCAACACCCAACAACACACGTGACCCCCCCAGTCAATGCGGATGCTGCAGTCTGGGCCCTGCCCACAACAGTCACACAGACCGGCACCACATGCCCCGGTAGGTGGACGGCAGCCCTCCCCAGACGGAGGCCGCAGCCTTTGGGGGAGTCCCACGGTGAACCCCACTTCCAAGACATGAATGAGCCCCTGAGTCAAGCTCTTTGCGTTCAGAGGGCCCAGTTCCCCCAACCCTGTTTCTAAAAATGAGCAGTGTCACAACAGCGAGGCACCAAGGGGTCACACACTTGTAATTGTGACAAATACGCCAACACACAAACAGTTCAAACTTAAGAAATAGGAACAAACCCCTTCCCTCGCTTCCCCCTCCTCTATGTTCTGCCCTGGAAGGACATGCCCTAGGGCACGCCGGCCCCTGGGGACATGGGACAGAGCAGGTGCCATCAGGGCAGCCCCCTTGGTGGAGGCAGAGAAGGCACAGTGAGCCCACCTGTAGCCGAGTTAGGAGGGCACTGGGCTCCCTGGGAGGCTCCTATCAGCTCATGGCAACTGAGACCAAGACTTCAAAGAATACGTACGTGAGAATTCTACCTCATTATGAAAGGGGACAGACATACGGCCTTCATCCTGGGGAAACCACGACCACAGACCCTGGGGCAGAATCCCCCCATGAAGGCCACAGACTCGGTGTACCCACACCTGCCACACTCACCTGGGGTAGAGACCCGCCCCAGGTAACCTGTGTCTACTGCACTGATCCTGGCTTAGACCTTGGCTGGCCTTGCACACTCCACCCCCCCCCACCCAGTCCCTGCCCTTCACCCTTGACCCCATACCCTGACCCCTCATGCTCGACCCTGGACCCTCACCCTCAACCCCGGCCCCCAGCCCCTCATACTTGACCCCAGACCCTGACCCCTCATGCTTGACCCTGGACCCCAACCTCTCACCCTTGACCCTGGACCTTGGCCCTCAGCCCCTCATGGTCCCCAAAGCAGGTCTGGAGTCCTGGGACCTACATACTCGAGGACAGAGTGTGTGGCCGCGCTGGGGAGGTAGCGGTAGAGCAGGAGACACTGGTCCACGCGGACGACCCCGCCGCCCTTTCTGAGGTGGTCGTAGAAGAAGAGCAGGTCCTCAGGCACACCCTGCAGGGTGAGACAGAAGCATCGACCATTGCTGGCGGCTCTGCACACCACAGCCGTGCCAGGAGCTTCTGTGTGTGCGTTGACGCAGGTGACTGGGCACGGGGACTCGCGCCTGGCCTTGTCGGCCGGCCTCCAGCGTCACGGGCGGGCCCAGCACTCAAGTGTGTGATGTCACCTCAGGACAGGACGTGCTAGCCAGGAAGAGCTGGGGGCCCGGGGTGGACAGGCGTCCCCAGCGGCGCCCTCGCTCATGCTCCCTCCCCATGAACGGGGTCCCTGAGAGCTTTCCCCTGGGCCTCTCCGTCTTGAGAGAACTCAGCCCCCCACCAGCCCGTCCTCGGTGGTGACCACGAAAGCTGGAAGCCAGACACTAACTCTGCTCCCTTTTCATTCCCTAAACTCAAGAGTGACGGTCATGTGGGAGGAGAGGTCTGGGTCCTGGCCGCCAGCCGTGGGCCACAGAAGGTGCACAGTGAGCGGAGCCGGTGGCGCCTGGTCTCCTCAGCGCCCACAGCCTGTCCTCCAGGGCTGGCGCCACCGCCAGGCCTCTGCAGGCTGCTGCCCCGTTTGCCTCTCTCCCCAGGGGGAGGGTCGCAGGGCTGCCCCCAGGAGATGGAGCCCTGGGAGATGCTGTCTCCACGGGGCAAGCACGTCCCCAGACTGGCGGTCTGTGCCAGGCCTCAGAGCGTTGGTGACCACCCCTCCCAGTATGCCTGGTCTGCTGGTTCCCCAGGAGCGCAGCTTCAGGCTCAGGGCCGGACACTTCTGGAAGGGCTGAGCCCCACCAGGGAGCACGCGGCACTGGGCGCATCTCCCTGCTTGGCTCTTGTCCCCAAAGTCAGCTCCATAAAGCCAGCTGGTGCCCCAGTCTGTCCACCTGGGTCCCTCATGAGGCCAGCACGGCCCTGGAAGTCCCGGCCAAGGGGTCCAGCGCACACTTTCTTTTGTTATGGGCGGACCCCACATGCTCAAGGCAGGGTGACACAGCCGTGGGCACAGAGCCCGTGCCATCCGCGGCGGGCTGGCTAACGGGGTGGAAGAGCCATGAACACCCTTGTTTCCAACGTGCAGGCAGACAGGTATCTCAGCACATGAGACTTGAAGGACTAGTTTTTACAGAGACTATGATGACATGAAAAGATTTATACTAAAACGTTAAGGTAAAAATCAAGCTTCAAAACTGTTTGTGGCAGAGGCTAAAAGTGTGTCCACAGGAAATTAAACACGTGGGCCACACTCAGAAGGTCAGAGCAGCTTTGTGATGACAAGGTCACAGGTGGTTTGTGTATTTCCCTTTTTTCTAATTTTCTGTCTTTTCAAACCTTTAAAGAGCAAACTAACTCGGTGCAGTTTACAGGTTTAGGAAAGGGAAAGAAAAGGTGCTCTTTCTTCTTGGGACCTGGAAGAAGTCACCTTCAGGGCTTCCTTCTTTATGGCAAGAAGGAGAGCGAGAATTTAGTCGGATGTGGCCCTGGAGCGCCACCACTCCCCTCGAGTCAGAGAGTCTGAGCCACTGGTCCACCATCCTGGGCACCCGGCCACTAGGAGTTCAGGCTCCTGTGGCCGAAAACTGTAGAGGCTGAGATGGCAGTGGTGATGCGGCCGGGGAGGAGCCCAGGTCCTCCACTGGGGTTGTTCCAGGGGGTGGGGGTTGGTGCGTGGGTGTGGCGGGTGGAGAGGGGGCACTGAGGGTCCCAGAGGTGGGGGTGGGGGCGGGGCGGGCGCACTGAGGGTCCCAGACGTGGGGTCTGGCGGGCGGGGTGCACACCCCAGAGATGGGGTGGAGGGGGCTGGGGGCAGACGGAGCACAGGGCCGGTGCCAGCCCCCGCACAGTCTGGGACTGCTGTGCTGCTGTGGCAGGAGGGCAAGTCGTGGGCGACCCAGAGAACACAGGGACGGGCAAAGTCTTCATCTAGATGGAGCCCGTGTGAGAGAAAGCAGAAAATCACACACTTCCCCAGATGGATACAATTCAATCTGCTGATGTACCCACAACAAATCATGATTCGACCCCGAATCATGAGTCAGATCAGCAGGGACAGTCCCTGCACCTGAGAATGTGAGGGGACCCAGGGCGGGGCGGGGGGCAGATGGGCGTGTGCCGGCGGTGGAAATGTGCCTCTCCTGGCAGCAGACTGGTGAGTGAGGGCCTGGCGTTACCTAGAATACATCCAACTGCACGTTTAAACAGATGAAATGTATGCTATGTGAATTATACCTCAATGAACTTCCAAAATAAGGATGGATTGAACTCAGAATAGAAATAGAAGGAAAAGATAAAATCATGAGAAATGAAGGCTATATAGTAAAAAACGTAAGAGTGGGAGAGAAAGCTCCTGAGAGTACAGTCAGGGAACATTCCACTGATGTAAAACTGGAGTCTGCAAAACAGAAGAAGAAAACAGAGCAGAGGGCTCACTGAGAAGTACCTGCCAAGGAAAATGCTCGGATATACGGGCAGACCCCTTCCCCGTACTGGAATTCGCAGCAGGTACGTCCCTGTGAAGCTATTAGTTCCTAACAAGGAAATACTTTTCTCAGAGCCTCCAGGCAAGAAGATCACGTGCCTCACCAGGCAAAGAGAATTCGGTGTCAGTCTCTCGAAAGCAACAAACCTAGGCAACAATAGAACAGAATTTTCACTCTCAAGGAAAGAAAATGAGCCAAGGGTGTTGTGTACGGCCTGTGTCCCTCAAGCAGTGGGACGTGTATGGCTGTGGACGCAGGGTCGGGTGGGAGATGCAGCCACGTGTGTGTATCTTCCAACATTACTGGACACCACACAACAACGTGGGGGAGGGAACGAGAGGGTCTCACTGCTGGTTGTACAGGAAGTGGGGGGGGGGGCATCAGAACACCTTTAGAAGCGGGAAAATAGCAGAGCAGAAAAGGTTGAAGAAGAACACACAGGATTAAGGACATTTAAAAAGAGAGAAATACAGAAATAACCACTAGAACAAAATGCAAGCCTTCAATACCAAGAGAAATTTAAACAGCCCCTCAGTGGGTGACGGCTGCTGGCTGCGGATGGCCGAGCAGCCGCCCCTGCAGTGACCACGCGGTGCCCAGTGTGGAGGCCGGGCCGCGGGCAGCACATCAGGGTGGGAGCGACACAGACCCGCCAGGGATGGAAGCCACAGCCTTACTGCCCCGATGCCTCAGGATGGAACCTGGAGGAGCAGGGAGGTGGAAGTGAGAATTCCCATAATGTAGAAACCAAACAGGAGAAAATACCCGCAAACAAATACCTGATGAAGAACGCCAACAATATGGGCACCTCGAGGGCTTGGTCGGTTGAGTGTGCAACTCTAGGTTTTGGCTCAGGTCCTGATCTCTCGGGTCATGAGACAGAGCCCCACCTTCCAGCCTCGGGTCTCCAGATTCCTAAGAACCCACTGGCCGAGACCCTCTGCCAGCATCTGCACGTCCAGGCTCCCTCCTGCCCTAAGCCCAGCAGCTGGTGGGGGGGAGGGGGCACTCCTCAAAGATGAAAATGGTAAAGGCCTGACGAGTCCTTCCCACACACAATCCACCTTCTTCCACCATGGAGACCAGACCTTGCATTCTCAAAGCCAAATTTAAGGGAAGTTTAAGGAAAAATACACAAACTAACCCTAAGATTTTCTTTTTAATTAAGTTTAGCAGTATTAACCACAAGACTGTCGCAGGGGCAAGGGCAGAGAGAGCAAGGATAGAGGCCGGGTCCCCAGAGACCAGTGTGGGCCGAGCTCTGCGGGGGGGGGGCCCCGCGGGCAGGAGGGGATTTAGAGGAAGAGCCCAGCCCAGGATAGACGGTGTGCCCAAGGCCACCTGGCCCTCATCCCACAGGCAGCACGCTGTGATTTCCCACAAACAGCCTTTAAGCCAGGATGAGGTAGCCTGTGGCCTGCACCAGTCAGGCGCGGATGCCCTGATGCCAGCAGCCTTCACACAGAAATCCCAGGTGGTGCCAGGGCCTCAGATGCTCTCGGGGACACTCAGCCCGACCAGCGGAAGTGCTGGGAAGGCCTTCATGGGAGATGTTTCCCTAATCCCTGGATCCCCAGGGAGGGCAAGGGGGCACAGCACCCACACCTAGGGAGGCTGGGATTCTGGGAATTAGCACCCCAGGGGGTTGTTACCCCAGAGAAGGGGGTCTACAAGGGGTGCACACTTACCTGCCCACCCTCGTCAAATGAGCCCACGTGGGAAAACCATGCTCGAGAGCAGAACCAGGTGGGCATGACCACAGTTGGGCCATTGGAGGTAAAAACCTAGAAGCAATGACGATGACACAATTATCAGAGAAGAACGCCTTGTCCCAGACAACAACTCCTCTTCCACAAAGTGTAAGTCAGAAAGTGACAAATGAATTTGCCTTTCTTTGTAGGTACAGCAGTTCAAGGGACTTTACAGCCACATCAACAGTACGTGGTGCCAGGGCCACCAGATGGGGGGGAGGGGCCAAAAGAAGCCGTGGCCCCACTGGGGTCCTGTCTCCAGGTTAGCGCCACTGACTGTGTTCACCCCCCCCACCCCCACTCCCCCGCTTTTGACTGGCGGTGAAGCTTCATGTGAAAACAAAATCTAAATATGCTGCTTTTAATTGTAACATGAAAAAACTGAAAGGGGATAAAAAGATAGCGTAGATGAAATGGATAAACTCCTAGAAAGACGTGAATCATCGAAACTGACTGAAAAAGAAATAGAAACTATGAACAGATCTGTAACAAGCAAGAGATTGAAAAAGTAATTTAAAAAAACCCCAAACCACAACTTCCCACAAAGAAAAGCTCAGGTCCAGAGGGCTTCAGCAGTAATTCTATCAAATGTTTAACGAATTGATATCAATATTTCACAAAGTCTTCCGAACAACAGAAAAGGGTAGGGGACACTTCCTGAGTCACACTGTGAGGCCAGCATTATCCTGACACCAAAGCCAGTCAAAAATATCACAAAACTACACACCAAGATATTTTATGACCATAGCTGCGAATATCTTCAACAAAAAACTAGTGAATGGAGTCCCAACATTATAGAAAAAGGACCCTACACCATTACCAAGTGGAATTTATCCCAGGATTGCAAGGTTGGCTCAAAATATGTAGCCATGCCGAAGAGAAAGCTCCCAGAGACACTCAGACCAAGTGGACGTGCAGGGTGCTTCTGCCAGTGAAACAGCAGCAGCAGCAAATGGCACATGGTCTTTATTTCATGTTCGCCAGGTATCAACATCAAAGAATGTGAAAGCATGGGAGAAAAACACAAAGAGCCTCCAGACACAGACCAAACACACATCTGGTGTTTACAGGAAAGCTTGCAGGGAAGATGTGTAGTTTCAAGGGCTGCTAGGCAATTACAGTGGGTCTGGCTCCTAACTGGCTCCTGGGAGATCGTGGGGCTCTGTTCTCATGGTGCTATCATGTCTGACAGCCTTGAGACCAGAGCATCACTGATGTTTCATCAATTACCCCATTCACTTTCCCAGGGCTTACAAAACACTCTCTAGAAATAACTCCACAAACATATGAAAACAAAGGTGGTGTGATATACCATATTAATAGAACAAATAGAAACTACACAGTTTTCTCTTGATGCAGAAAAAGCATTTGACAAAATCCAACACCTTTTCATGACAAACTAGTCAAACTAAAGGGGCATCTGGTGGCTTAGTTGGTTAAGCATCCGACTCTTAATTTCGGCTCAGGTCACGATCTCACAGGTGTCAGATGGACCCCCGAGTTGGGCTCTGTGCTCATAGCGGTGCTTGCTTGGTATTCCGTCTCTCTCCCACTCCCTTCCCCCCGCCCCTCTCAAAATAAACTTAAAAAAATAGTGAAACACTAAACACTTTCCACTGAAGATCAAGAACAAGATAAGAATGTATACTCTCGCCACTTCTATTCAACATCGTCCTGGAAGTTATAGCCAGAACAATTAGGAAATAAGAGAAATAAAAGGCATTTTATTTCTAGTTTGAAATGAAAAAGTAAAATGGTCTCAATTTTCAGCTGACACCATCTTATAAACAGAAAACCCAAAAGTAATGCAAACACACACTCAGCCTTATACTAATGAGCTAGTTCAGCAAAGTTCAGCATACACGATTCATATACAAAACTCAACTGTATTTCTATACACCTATAATGAACAATCCTTTTAAAAAGGAAATTAAGAAAACAGTTTGATTTACAACAGCATCAAAAAGATAAATGTAACAAAGAGTGCAAGACTTATACACTGAAAATTATAAAACATCTTTGAAACAAATTAAAGACACAAATAAATGGCAGGACATCCCATTTTTATGGAATGAAGGATAAAATATTAAGATGGCAATTCTTCCCAATTAATCTACAAAATCAACGTAATTCCTATCAAAATCCCAGCTGCTATTTGTTGTTGTTGTTGTTGTTGTTGTTGTTGTAGAAAATGATAAACTGATCCTGAAAGTCACATGGAAATGCAGAGGACCCAGAATAGCCAAAACCGCCTTGAACAAAGTTAAGGACTCTCACTTTCCAATTTCAAAACTGACTGCAAAGCTACAGTAATTAAGACACTGTGGTCCTGGCCTAAGGAAAGACATAAAAATCAACGGAACAAAATTCAGAGTCCAAAATAAACCCATTATGTTTATGATCAATTCATTTTTTTTTTTTTTTTAAACAAGGATGCCAAGACAATCTGACAGAGAGACATCTTTCAGCAAATGGTGCTGGGACAACTGCACATCCACACGGAAAAGCATAAAGTTGTATCCTTACCTCACACACATTAATACAAAAATTAATGCAAAGTGGGTCAAAGACCTAAATAAAGAGCTCAACCAGTAAAACACTTAGAAGGAAGCCCACCTGCGGGTCCTCAGGGCCCTGTATCAGGCAGCGGGTTTTTTTTGGACACCCAAAGCACAGGCAGCCAAAGCGGAAACAACAGATAGACTCCACGACTTTTTGAACCTGCTAGAAACACTGGCTTGTACATTTCAACAGGGTGAATTTTATGGCAGAGGAATTCTGCCTCGATAATGATGTTAGTTAAAAATACTATGTGTACAACAAATGCCAAAATCAGAATCTGAAACAGGACCCAAAACTGAAGGTTACTGTACCAAGTAGATTATGTTGACCAAAACTAAAACTGCCAATTATCAGCAAAAAATGGGTTACTGAGAATAGCAGAGAATTCCCACCCAGGTCACCTTCACAGAAGCACAGGCAGTTCTGGAGAGTCAGGGTGGAGGCTCTTATGGGGGGGGGGGAGGTAGGAGGTGGGTGGGACTGTCTAACGGAAATCTACTGGACTCCGCGGAGCCGGAAGTACGGTGGCTTCCCATTGGCTAGGATGTCCCCGCCTCTCACGGGCTGGGCTGCTGCTGGGCTGAGTGAGGCAGCGTCTGCAAGGGGCCTCCTCTCCTGCGGGGTCTGCAACCGAGACCTGGTGCTGGGCAGACAGCTCCCCTGCCCGCCTCCACCCCAGCCTAAGTGAGGTTTCCCTGATTCCGTTTCACACTTAAAAGCAGCGCGCAACAAGGAACATTTGGAATGAGTCCATAAAATACATAAATGCATGGAAGGGAATGTACCTAAAGAATAACAGCAGCCGCCAATGACTGCTGAGATTACACAGGATTTATTTTATTCTTTTCCGTATCTTCTGAATGGCTTTTATATTTATTTATTTTTAGAGAGAGCATGGACGTGAGCAGGGAAGAGGGGCGGGGGCAGGGCAGGAGCAGGGAGAGAGAGAGAGAGAGAGAGAGAGAGAGAGAGAGGGAGAGAGAGGGAGAGAGAGGGAGAGAGAGGGAGAGAGAATGAATGAATACGAAGCAGGCTCCCTCCACATTCAGTGCAGAGGCCAACTGGGATGATCTCAAGACTATGAGATCATGACCGGAGCCGAAATCAAAGGTTGGTCACTTAACTGACTAAACCACCCAGGCCCCCCTGTATTTTCTGAAAACCTTTTTAGGGTGTTTTATTTATTCTGAGAGAGAGAGAAAGTACAAGTGGGGTAAGGGCAGAGAGAGAGAGGAGGGAGAATCCCAAGCAGACTCCACATTGTCAACACAGAGCCTGAAGCAGGGCTCGAACTCACGAGCTGTCGGATCATGACCTGAGCCAAAGGCAGACACTTAACTGACAGAGCCACCCAGGCGCCCCTGAATTTCTTAAACATCAACAAAAAAAGCAAGATTATAATCAGAGAAAAAGCTAGCTGTGCCTTGAAAAAACATTTTTAGGAAAAGAATTTTGAGAAAAAAGATACACATAACTATATAATTATACTTTTATACTCAATGCAATTTCTTTAGTTTATGAAAACACTCAAAAATTTTGAATGTAATCAATTTTCTGTGTACAAGATTAATATATATTCATTGACACAAAATACAGAACATCGTGCAGAAAAAAACTAAAACCTTCCCTAAGTGCACCACCTAGAGAAATAAACTGTTAACTTTACAGCGTGTTCCCTCCAGGACTTTCACCTCAGGAGGAGAGGTGCAAAGTGTGGACCACGGTGTGTGCACACAAGCCGCAGCCCATCACCTGCTGCCCTCGCGGTCCCGCCTCCGGCGTCCCCGGGAGCAGCACCTCGTGCTGGGCAGTCACAGCGGCAGACGCCCCCCCCCCGCCCCCCCCGCCGATCTCTTCTGCCTCGTCTTTCCTGACCCCAGGCTGCTCCTTCCTCAGGGACTCCTTTTACCTGGAGAGTCTGGAACTCTAACTTTCAAGAACGTTCCTGCCTCCTGCTTCCCGGGGTCCACCTGTTCCCACAGGACTTAGAAGGTCCTGTGTATGCGGTGACGCACCCATCGCTTTGTTTCCCCACCGCACAGGGTCACCCCGCCTGAGACGGGGCCCTGTGGGCAGCAGCCAGGGGCGCTTCCCTGCTGAAAACAAACGGTGCTGCTACAAAGGCGCTGGTGGAGAGCGGGGCGCAGGGGCGGGCGTTTCTTCTCGGGGTTAGTTCCTATTAAACTAGGAAATGTGAACTCATGCCAGTGACGTGGCTTCTGTGAGAACGCGCCAGATACTCGGTTCCAAGCTGGGCCGAGAATCTCAGACGGTTTCTCCCGCACTGTGGGGCTCTGAGCGCGGCACAAAGCACATCACAGAACCCAGCACCCGAAAGCCGACCGACTAAACGCTGCAGCTCAGAGCTACCACCCCTCATCCCTCTGCGTCTGGGAGGCTTCTTCTGAGTTCTGAGAGCGTAGCTCACCCCTGAACAACGCGGGTGTGAACTGTGCAGGTCCACCTACAAC